CGAACCACGGTCAACTACATGGGAGTTCAGCAATATAGCCATTACACTAAATGCTGGTCCTTGTGCCAGTTCCTTTCTAAGTCACAGCCTACCTGTACTCATTTCTCAAGACCTCAACACCCTGTACTCAAAGGATCCATCTCTTTGCTCTGGGGATTTGCACTTCAACACACATCAGAGAACTAGAGCTAGTGATGACCTGAACACAACCTTCAGCAAATAGCCTAGTTTGTTTTCGAGGGCTGTAAGGGTCCAGAGATCGGTCTAACTGATGGAGACGCAGAAAAGACAACGACAAAGCAACTGCAAAAGAGGCTTTTATTCTTTTTCCAGCTAGCTGGGGTCCGAGTTTCTGCCCGTCGCAGCGGGCCTCAACAAGGACCTCGAGCCTAAGATAAAGGGATCTTTATAGTTCAGGATTTTCCATAGAATGTCACACATACCAAGGAGGGGGTATGAGAAGCGAGGGTCCAGCTGTCATCACCTGCTCAGGTCTAGATAAGGGCTCTCAGCTAAGGGTCCGAATGACCTTGCCTTGGAGGTGCTGGGCCCTCCCGTTTTCCACTTATCTGAGAGTTCCCAGACCCCTGGTTTCCATCCTTGAGGCCCTACAAACTGAGCTCTGTCCTTGAAGACTTAACAAGGTAGCAATTAAGCTAACTTGCCCCACTATTCCCTAACATGGCGGTGATTAAGCTAACTTGGCCTAATAGGTCTAGGACAAACTTCCCCAGAACATGTAGTCTGAATTTTATAATAGCTAAGCAGTTATTTTATACTATTACTTTAGTATTAAACACACACACACACACACACACACACACACACACAAATGTTTTGTATACTGCCACATTTAGAACTGAGCAATGCAGTGGGCACAGCGTAGGTCCTCTGCTGGTGGCAGATTGGAAATGGTCTAACTACCTCCTCATTGCTTCTGCTGTTCTACTTGTAGGTATGGTAAATTGTGCTTTTCTAATATTTTTTATTTGATGAATATTTAAGGAATGATTAAGTTCAAGGGGAAGCATAGTGGATTGGTGACTGCCCTGCAGTATCCTCCGCTTGGAAAACCACTTACTCCGTCATTGCCACTGTGGTTCTTGGACCTCTGAGAACCCTGCAATGAAGATGAGCACACCATTTCCTGCAGCAGGCCATCCCTCCTGGCTTAGCATTGGCAGAACCACTTCCCCTGTGCCTAGCAGGAAGAAGTTTCCCCACGGGAAACCAAACTTCAGGCACTGTCAACTTCATCTCCTTCCTTCACAATTAATTATCACACACGTCATCAGTCTCTCCACTCCCCTGACCTGCTGGGACTTCCTGGTTCTGCTAGTCTTTCTGACTATATTTTCTATCTTTCGTTTTGATTCTCATTCTTCTGCATATCCTTGGAAGCCAATATTAATGGGCTCTCAATTTTCAGCCCTTCTTGCTCTGCTTAATTCCTTAGTATGCCATTTTCTACCTGTGTCCAAATACCCCTGGCAATTCCTGGTTCCCTGTGAAGGCTGATAAGCTCCTGACTTCCAATTGCATGTGTTCACCCACTTCTGGACCTCTCTGCCTGCCTGTTTCCCAGCTGTTTTGGGAAACAGGCAGGGACAAAACTCAGCTCACACTTTTTTAAATGATACTTTTCTTTTAGAAAATACCTCTATTGTCTGTATCTATTCCTATACCTAATATCTAGGCTCCTTCAGAACATATTAATACCTTTATCAAGATAGTGTCAGTTGGGACCAGCAGTTAGTGTAATAATGGCTATGTCGCTGGACTCCTATGTTTTCAACCGTGGTTCAAGTCCTGGACCTGGTGGCTTATACTCATGCCGGGCGCGTGTGCGTGCATGCCCAAGATCCTGAGAGGAGAATGGAGGAGAAGGGATTGTCCCCCTGGGGGGTAATCGCTCGGTTTCTGTCTCTCTGTCTCTCTCTGGTGAGCACATGCACCCTATAGCAAAACCTCTCCAAAAAAATAAAAAGATAGTGTCAGTTAATGGTGACAAATCTCTCTCATGTGTGTGCATGAGCACACACACACACGTTATGAATCCTTTTCTGGTTTACCAGTTTTTATATAAAAGATACTAGTTCCTAGTGGGACATTAACTGGACTGAACATGGCTTTTGAATGTTATTGGCCCAAGTTGAAAAGGTGTCTTGCAGGGGGGCTGTCTGCCCCTCGTGAGAGATGTAATATGAGCAGAAGTCCCAGCTAAGGCTCCATGAAGCTGTCGATCGTGTGTGTGTGTGTGTGTGTGTGTGTGTGTGTGTGTGTGTTAGCTCTAACTTCTTCCCCTGACTCCCCACAGGGATGCCCTGAATGTATTTTCTTGAAGGCTACATATTTTTTAAATAGCAAGCCAGTGTCAGATGTCACTCAAAAACTGGTTGAGATAGCCCAGACCAAGAACATGTTCTTCTAACAAGATGAACCATTTTCAGGCTGAAGATTGCATTTAGGGCAAACTATCTTGCAAAAAAGTTAATACTTTGTTCCCACTTCAGAATTTTCCTAAAGACCCATTTTTCTCCTTCATTTGGAGGCTTGTGCAGGCTGCAGACATTTGTGGTTTAGAAACCGGGGGCAAAGGCAGTCACCTCTTCTCTGCTAAAAACCTTTTTTTTTTTTTTTTTTTTTTTTTTTTTACTCTCGCGTTTTCAGAATAAGATTATCCTGGACCCCATGACGTTCAGCGAGGCCAGGTTCCGGCCGTCCCTGGAGGAGAGGCTGGAGAGCATCATTAGCGGGGCGGCACTCATGGCCGACTCCTCCTGCACCCGTGACGACCGGCGCGAGAGGATCGTGGCCGAGTGCAACGCCGTGCGGCAGGCGCTGCAGGACCTGCTCAGCGAGTACATGAATAACGTAAGTCCTCAGCGCTCGGTTCTCACGGCTCGTGGATTCCCTTCTGCAGTCTTGTGGCTGGTGTGCAAACCGCGAGAGGATCGTGGCCGAGTGCAACGCCGTGCGGCAGGCGCTGCAGGACCTGCTCAGCGAGTACATGAATAACGTAAGTCCTCAGCGCTCGGTTCTCACGGCTCGTGGATTCCCTTCTGCAGTCTTGTGGCTGGTGTGCAAACATGCATAGCAAGTGGAAGACTGGTGTTCTTGAAGAGAGTCAGGTGCCACCGTGGAACCGCTTAGGCCAAGTGCGGCGCTCTGATTTCGTCCGTTTTAGTAGGGTTTAGTTTAGTTTAGAGATTGGTGGCGAGTAAAATCTTCTTGGGAAACCTCCTTCAGTGTTTACTGGAGTGATTTCTTCTTGGTCATTGTTAGGGACTGCTATTCAACTCATGTAAGATTTCAGCTGGTAAAGGCAGGCAATTGATGGGAACAACTGAGGGTAGATTAAATCCTCTTTTAAGAAGAGCACTTTCCAAGCTAAGGGTGGCTATAGTTGCCAATGTCCATCCCTTGGGGGCATTTAGTACACATCATGGGTTTTTAAATGGTCTTATAGAGTTGGTTACAGTGGAGAAGTTCTGTCTGAGCTTGTGTTGATTACTTGTGCAATTAGGAATGCTTATAATGAGTTTCCAAGTTCTCAAATAGGCATGAGTGGTATGTATCTAGTTATATTGAGGCACACACAGGTAGCCATGTTTTCCTACAGTTGTAAAATGTGATGTTTTTCTATAGACCAGTGATCTACAAAAATGAGATGAAGGCTTTATTCTTTGCTTTGAAGGGCACTAAGTTATGGTTGCACTGATGTGCTGTGTTCATTCAACTGGGGTGATGCCCAGTGCTTAGAATAGTGAATGATCTTGAGTTTTCCCCCATCCTGAACTCCTGGGTTATAGAGATTTGAAAAAATATATAGATAAACTGAGGTCTTGATGTTACGTGTTGAAGAGATGACCCGTGTAGCAGTCGGGTAGGTACTAGGGATGCTGAAAATCCACTCACAGCTTTGGAAATCCAGGCTGGCTATGGCTAGAACTCCTAGAGGCAATGCTGAGACAAAGTAGCTAACCCACATCCCTCCACCCACAGTTTAGCACTCCTATCCTGAGTGAAAATATGCAGCAACAGATGCTGGAGTTGGCACTGATATAATGATGCCCCTCCTGCTGGACTCAAGAGAACTTTATCCAAATAGCAGGCATAAAGGTTTCATGAATACACTGTACAAACTACAAAACAAACCTGTCTCCTTTCCATGAACCTTCAGATTCTTTGATTTTGAAGACTTGCCCATTTTCAGCATCTAAAGAATCAAGTGTGGATACATCATGTGACACCTGACTGCTTATGAGGCCTTCTCTGTGAGACCCTGGATGGCCAACACGTTCCATGTTTTCAGGCTACAGGTGTCACGTCGGGCACAGCTAGAAACGTTGATTGGCAGCCTCTCCCACCCTGACTGAATTTTCGAATAGCAGATTTGTCAAAAAAAAGAATGTGTATGAAATCTGGGATTCTGGCGGTGTGTAGGATTTTAAACTATTTTCATGAAACAAAGTAGCAAAAGGCTAATTATTTGTTGTGGAATTCGGCTTTATGTGCAGGCATGCTGGGTTTCCTATCAATGACTAATTCCTGCCAAAGAAGGAATCTGTAGCTCCACAGACCTAACAGTGATGGTGAAGATATCAAGATGAATAAATCAGAAACAGAAGCAAGTTCTTATGACTAGAAATCACTGTGTGTGATTAAAGAAGAGTAAATCGAGGTGTGACATGTAATTTTCAGCTTGGAATCTAGAATCCTGTCAAGTTGAAGTTTGTTCTTTCTGTGTAACTCATTCAGATCAACAGAGCTGACGGGTTTTTGTATTTTATCGACTCCAGCCATTTGTCTTTCTGTTCACAACCTTGGGGTGGAGGAATATTTTTTGCTTTTATTGAAATCGTGGTTTCTGTTTTGACATGGTTTCAGATAATTCACAGATGGGTGTAGTGCTTAAATTTCAACGTGTACACATTCTATTCACATAGAACCATCAGGATCAAAGCCTGAAATAAAACACCTCCTATATTTGACTATTATATAAACTATATAAAACATAGCTGGACTTTATACTTTTTTGGTGACTGTATCATAGAATTGGATGCAGCTAGACCGTTTCCATAGAACCAGTCCAGACCACTCTTTTCTACTGCCACTAAGCCAGTTTATATTTACTTTGGTGGTGGCATATTTAATTAAAAAACACGTATATAACTGTGCCTTGACTAAAAGTCTATTGTAGGTAACAGCAGTCAGTCAATTCGTCAATCATTCCTGGGCTGTTATATTTCTTTTTCAATCTTGTAAGCTCTGGGAATCAACATATTATCAAATTATCACCCTGCAGGTTTTTAATCTTTGTGTTCAAACAGCATTATTAGGATAAAGAAGTCATTAAACTGAGGAGAAAAGATTTAAACATTAGCATAAGAGACATTGGTGGATTCTAAAAATCTCCTGATCAGTCTTTAATGAACATTCAACTTACAATGTTCACTACAGCCAAGTCCGTTCTAAAACCGTATGTGTGCCATGTGGTAGGGAATGGAATGAGATGGAGAGTGTGGAGAACAGCTGTGTACTAACTGATTAGAGAAAAGAGGTCTTCATGGGTCATGGACTATGGTTTAGCCACATGGCTCATACTGAGCTCAGTAAGATAATAGTTGCGTGTTAGACATCTCCACAAATTCGTATTCGGAATACTGAATGTGTGCAGGTATGATTTGAAGATGTAACAAAAATTGTGCAATGAAAAGAAATTGCAGTATGAGAAAAAAGGCTGTGTGAACAGATGCATGTGACAAAAAAATATGTTCCCAGAGGGTGGCAGTGGTAAATGATTTTTTGCAGTTGCTTTAGGAAAGCCCTGGATGGCCTTAAGTTGTTTAAAATATAGCCCAAAGTAAAAAAGATCCTTAAAAATAATCCCCCTTTAAATAGAATATTGTTATTGTATGTATTGTGGAGACCAATGGCAGAGAATCTCATTCAAAAGACCTGTAGTCTATAGAAGCTAATTTGGATTAGCGCTGTCAGAGTAGTTATTGGGAGTATTATGCTGAGAACTATAAATAATTCCAAATTATAAGGAACACATAAACTTTCTTCTGGAACTTATCATTTTATACAGAAATTCTTTTTTTTTTTTAATGACAGTACCACATTTTTCAGCAACCAAAAATAAATTTTAAAAAGGGACCCCATGATAGGATACAATTAAACACAGGATTTTATTAATAAGAATTGGGTAATGGGTTCAAATTTAGAATATTTTATTCATTTAACAAACAAATGGGTATTGTCTGCCTGGCTGCTTTGTGCTTTTTTAGGCTTCTGAGGATACAGACGGAAGCCAAGCAGACACAACTTTCTGCTCTCTGGGGGCTTACTCTCTAGTGTGGGCAGGCAGATAAGAATTGCGTGAGTGATTTGAGCAAGAGTTATTTCAGACACTGATAAGCTCAAAGGGGGAATAGAAAACCTGGGAGGAGGGGGACATGGGGCACTGCTGTAGGTGAAGATGGCCTGGGAAGGGTATGTTCAGAAGAGGACATCAGATCCAAGAAGCGAAGATGAGGAAGCAAAGAACACTTGAGAAAGAGGGAACAACAAGGTCTAGGCCTGTTGTGGTGGAGGAGCTGTGGGGAGCCAGAGAGGCAGTCTGGGGGGGCAGTCTGAGATGAAATCAGCCAGGTGGCAGGGATTAGTGAACTCTGGGCCTCTGCACCACAATACAGATTTTGATTGTCATTTGAATGGAATGGGATGCCATTGGAGAGTGTCAAGCAGACAGTGCCATGATTAAAGTGCTAAAAGTAGGCCACAGAGGTATAAAAGTTACAAAGCAAGGGGACAGGTGAGGAGGCCCAGGGCCCTGGACTAATGAGTGCATGAGAGGATAGTCTCCTGGACCAGGTGACATCAGTAGAAGTGGTTGGACAAAAGTGTCCAAATTATGACTGTATTTTAAACAAAATTGTCTTATTAAATAACTAAGAATGAGATGCATGCTTCTGTTCTGTGAATGTAAAAGTATTGTGAATGACAGGTGAAGTCATATCAGCTGCCACTAATACAGTACCTTCATTTGGTTTCTACTGCACAAGAAATTCTGATGTACTCAGATGTAGTAACAGTTTGGAAACCACTCGTTTGGCAATGCCTAGATCCTCTGTTGGACAGATTGCATGGAAAAGAAGAATTCAGTAGAAAACTTCATTCCAACATGATGTCACCAAACATTTCTAACTAGGGTTTTTATTCTTTTAAATGAAAAATACTGGAAAAATGCAATACTTACTGCTAAGTGCTAAACTATAGTGCAGAAATATGAGGTGAAAAATTCATGTTACCTTAGGTTCTAAAATTAGAAATGCACACAACAGGGAGACACATTAATTCATTTTTTCTGAATGCACAATTCACTGGTAGGCCTTGATGAGAATATGTGACAGCAGATATGCCTGACCTAGCTGTGTGTCTAGTCCTGTATGACTTCATTCATTTTATTTGTGTAGACACCCTGTGCAACCCTAAGCTTTTAAAAATAAGATTGCAGAAATACAGTTTTCTTAAATAAACATGATTCACGTTTAACTGTTTGAATAAGGATAACAGCCATCCCGGTGACATACACTAATGACTTATTGGTCTGCACTAAGTTAACATATGGCAGGGTATTTTTAAATCATATTTTAAAAAATAATTAAAAGATATATATTTTTAAAAATATTAAGTAACTACTATATAACTAACTTAGTTACTTATATGTCCATTGATTATTTTTAAAAATATTTGGATCTAACTTTTTTCAAACCTCTTAGAGCATCTAGGAGGATCTCTGGGGCTAGGCATCTGCAAGCCACTAGTGTTATATAGATATTAAGAGCACATGAAGACACGGGATGTGGACACACACAGAAGTACTGTAAGTGCCTGAAGCATCACTGCCTTTACTGTGGAGTAGGATTTAACATAAAGGTGGTTCTTCTCAATGGACCCATCTTGGGAGGACTTGAGAACTAAAAGGAGGTGAGAGAAGGTCATTTCCACCCC